GCATAGCTTCTCTGCGATTTACGCTCCGTATATCTTAAGCGTAGCTTGGACCCCCCCAATACATTTTGCTGGATCCGCCACTGTATCTGGACTGGTCTTAGAAATGAATAAGATTTTGCTTATACTAGTACAATGTACTTACCATTTCTTAATAAGGGCCAAGTGTTCATTTTTGATGGCATAGAAAACCACATTGCTTGTCTGTCTAATACTATTTCAAGGTTCAACACTGTTGATAAATTATCATGTATATTTATGTATATTAGGTGAAGGAAGAGGATTTGAAGTAGTCCAGTCTAGACTTGGACCAGCAAGATTACAACATTGTATGCGACAAGTTGGAGTAGCTGAGCGGGTTTTAGAGATGATATGTGACAGAGCTCAATCAAGGTCAACATTTGGCAAGAATCTGGCACAACAGGTATAATAATACTATTAATAATAATGATGTTTTTTAGCATCTTGAGAAAATACAATTCAATCAGTGTACAGCGATAAATTTTTAAGTTATTTCAACATTGAATAAATAAAACATTGAATAAATAAATAATGAGCAAAAGTGTACTCCTTGAATTTAGAAAACTTTCTAAGTTTACTATTTTCATTTTTGATGTTTTACCTCCAGAATTTAATATATGTCATTTTTTATTTGTGAGTGATAAATTTTAAATCTGTATCTAAAAAAATCATTAAAAAATGTGTATCATTTTCTCTTATCATGTTTACAACTGTCTCAACCAATGATGAATTGAAATCATGTGGTGCATATATAATGCCTGTTTTCTGTTTGAAAGTTGTCTGATATATAGTAGAATATCAAATATTATTTGAATTGCACTTTATTTACCTCATGAATATTCATGAGGTAAATAAAATATGAAAAAGAGGTTGATTTGATTATTTGTGGATTGCACATGTGTAACAATATGCTTGGTACATTCGTCAGAGGTCAGAGGTCATCTTGGGTACTAATTATCTTATTGAATTATCATTCAGGGAGTTGTTCGACATCAAATTGCTGAATGTAGACTTGGAATTGAACAAATCCGATTGCTGACATTAAGAGCTGCCCATACTATGGATACATATGGATGTAAAGCAGCTAAGAAACAAGTATGTGTAAACCAAAAAACAATATATTTAAATCATGACACAATTTTTCCCGCTAAGCTTTTCGTGTCAGATTGACACAATATCTCAATACCATATTGATCAAAAAAAGACAGAAAAAATCATTCAGGTTTATTTTGTGAAAGTTTAAATATTTATATATTTAAAATGTATTGCAAATTGTTCATTTATTAATTTTTGGTATATTTAACTTTGTTTAAACTCAACCACCTTGTAAGTAATACGATATGCACCTTTCTAATCTTTTTTTCATTACTCTGATCTTAGATTGCTATGGCTTTTGTTGCAACACCTCGCACAGTGAAAAATATCATAGATACAGCTATTCAGATTCATGGTGGTGCTGGTGTCTGTCAAGACTACCCTTTCTGGAAGATGTTTTCCCAGGCTAGAGCCATGCAGATATCTTATGGTTCTGATGAAGTACACCTCATGGCCATTGCTAAAGATGAATTAAAACAACAACAGTCACGGCTCTAAACGCACTTACCAAAATATAAGGATTCAGAATTAAATATATTTTGCATTAGAAACATGTGCTGCCATTATTAAAATAACTACTGTGATCCAATACTTGTATAAATAGATCAATCAAATAAATAGATCCTTTACAAATAATCCGCCTGTCAAAAGAACACCTCTAAAACAATTCTTCCAAGTACCCTCTATAATATTGTGCCAAAAAGGGTGGGAATGTTTATCAGGACACAATATCATTAAAACGTTTGCTACCCTGTCAAGGGAATTCATTCATGGGAATCAGTAAAACAGGAATACACTGAAGTCAACAAAACCATGTATATTTTAAACTTAAGTAAGAGTTACTCATTTTATGAGCTCATGCAGTTATTTCTGCTGTTCTATATTCAGTCTGATTTTAGGGAGGTACTAGCAGGGTTACCTTATTATTATACTTATTATTATTATTATTATTATTATTATTATTATTATTATTATTATTATTATTATTATTATTATTATTATTATACTTATTATTTCCTAGGTCCTTCAGCTTTCTTCATACTAGCCTGGAAATGTTGCCTTGATTTTGCTCATTAACTATGTAATTTTTTCAAACATCACAACGAAAAGGGGCAGTCACAGTTTTGTCTCCATGGCAACTATCTAATGATGCAACATGTGCAAAGTACATATAACTGTTACATTATTAGCATAGCGCATATTCAAATTAGCATTATGCTATATTTATCAGCTAATTTACATTGTGGTCACCAACAAACTGCACAAGCAAGACTGAGACAGAATTTCCAGACTAGTATGGCGAAGGCCGCAAGATCCACAAAATAATAGCAAGGTATTCGAGCTGAGCAGGTGATTTCCTAGCCAATTTAAGCATTTCATTTGGATTGATTTCAAAGAAAAACAAACCAGTTGGGTTTAAAATGTTTAGAAGTATGAACATGGGTTTGTTGTCTTCATCGTATGAGCCAAATATATTAAAAATATTGCAATATGTATATAAATAAAGAATATTATTTGATTATTTTTAAATTGATATTTGTTGTGTTTATTTCAAAGAGGGTTCACCCCCTCCTATTATTGCTGAATGAGTTGCAGAAGGGTTAATTTGTTGTTTGATGAACAGCAGAACAAGTCATAATAATAAGTGCCAAGTTATTCTTAGTCCAGGTGGAACACAGATGTGCTGAAGAGAGAGGGCTATCGATAATAACTTTACTGCTGCGCATTCTTGGCAGCATCACAAACATGCATAAACCAGTTTCCTGCATAACCCATTTTGTTTTGTTGCGGGACGACAATCACAGCCCTTTAAATTATATTCATTTATTTATTGCCAGATGCTTACTTTAGAAAGAACAAAAAAACAATTACACAATTACAATGTTACGTTTACAAATTACAAGATTCACTGCCAATTATTAATCCTACAAAAATACATTTACAATATATAGCTACAATTATACTTCTACTATGGAGTGATGTTGTCTTATTTTAAGCACCATTACTAGTAACAGTGTTTGAGGCAATGTATAAATAATTGTGTCTCATTGATACATGTACTGCGAAGAAACAAATCGAACGAAAAATATCCCCTTGCGCGTCAATACAATGAATAGTCTCAAATTGAAAATAAGATTCAGATTTTCTTTGTTCATTTCAAAAATTCTATTGTTGAAAGGGAGATGTTGCCACCACAGACATAACTTCGAGAATCACAGCTAAAATCTAAATTGTGATTACTTACCAATAATTCGTCAATTAAATAACTGTACAACAGTATGTGATTAGTAGAATGTTTGAGTGAAAGTGGATACATAGTTATAACATTAAGTTTTAAAAGTTTACGCTGTTCATTTCCACAAACTTTCATGATTACTGTCTGATTACACATTTTTGATCGACCGTCGAATGCCAGATAGAACATGGCAAGCACGCAATATATACAGCTGTTGATCAGTTTTCAGAAACTCATAAGAGCAGCATTGAAACACACCGTGGTCAAGTTTTTGATGTAATCACAAATAAATAGTTCAGGTCGCAATATACAAGATCAAATTTAGAATCAATGTCACGGTGCGAGTGAACCAGGTGTATTTACAACAGTTTACAATTGGGGGAAAGAATACCACAGTGAATTTCATAAAGACATGTTTGCTTTTAAATGGAAATGTATAATATATTAATTATAAAACATTTACCTCACACTCCATTCAAATTCAATGAAGACAATTTCATTGGATATAAGTAGCCATTTGCCATGGAGTCTCTGTGCTCCATATTCACGATAAACTCTTTAGGTTCCAGGAAACCACGCGAAAGATATTATATTCTAGCGATATCCATCTGCTAATAATTTTGTCAACTTGTTTTGAAATTTATAAAATAGTTAATATATATATATATATATGTATAATTTGTAGTTATGTAAATAGTGGACAAATTTGCATGCATTGTGGTACGAAACAACGGTCTCATTTACTACGAGTAAAATCCCGTCGAGTAAACTTAACTACTAAATTCATAGCAAGTCAAATGATTGGCTCTCAGATTACAGCTGTTCATAAGTATTGTCCTATCACAAAGGGCTTTCTAAATCCGTTCTTACAGAGGTGGTCATTAGATACGGCGTCTTCTATTGGCCGTAATGCTATTGGCAGTCTTTCTACTAATTTTACTCCCTTATAGTGGCGTTCGGTGTACACACAATATTGCCATAATTTTGCTGGGACGTTGACATTTTAAATATTTCGACAATCGTATCTGACGCACGAATTCTCATATTGCCATTTCCTAGTTATACGGCTAAAACGAATGGGAACAGTTTTATAGTAAGCGATTACAGTTCAACGGCACAAAACACACGCAACGACAGTTAACAGAACAGCGGGTTCAACCAATGAAAACAAAGTGGTGGAGCATTTGAAATTGGACCGTGTTAGATTCACGGCAGACCTTATTCACACGTTTTAAACACACGTTGACTGTGATTATATGTATTTTCCGGTGCTTGTCAATTACGGTAAGATCGAAATTCCACATACATTATTTCCACTTTGATGTTTTATACGCTCTTTGTAATCTGTTGGATTTATTTCATATATCATTGACACTGTTGTGATGCGCCGGCTCTTTGTAATTGTTCCCGGGGTTAGTGATGTATTGCCTTGTGTTGTGCGAATTCCCAATGGCGAATGAGATTATTTTAATAAGCGATATAATTTCCCGAACAAATAAAGATATAGTTTGTTGTACCCTCATCTTGCTTTTTGCTTGGTCAATAAGCTGTCAAAATTGTGGTTGTGGCTCGCCACAGTTCGTAGCTTTTTATCTCGTTTTTAGTTCGATTGTTTTACATGTAATAATCGTGATCGGTAATGTTATTTTCTCCTCCGTGTGCTGATTTCGTGCTTACCAATGATCACAAACGAACTACGACGAACCAACAAAACTGAACCCACGTCATTTTAGTGGTCTGTATGACCTTCAACAGTGTGTAATGGCCCTGCATCCCATCGACCAGCAAAGGTCTATTCCCTCTATCTATATACCTTAAATATGATATGATCTAGACTATGCTGTGTGGCGCGTATCGCGTGGACGGGTTTCACGTTCTCTGCACGTAATAAGCTCGGTTATTAAGCATCCTTTTTTGGGGATGCCCGGTGGCCGAGGGGAAGACGTGTAGTGGCGTGAAGCTAGGCGATTAGGTGCCGTACGCGAGCGCCGGTTCGAGTCACGCACGCAGTACGTATTTACTATAATTAGACATAGTCTTTACCTTGCCGTTTATTCGGTGTTATTTGCTTACTGATCTAGACTATGATAGACTTTAGGTCGGAAAACAGATATTTTCATACAGATATATAACAATTCATGGATTCAGAACATACAAATTTGCTTGATTTGTTAAAAAATAAGGCCAGACTTTTATTATTCCTTGTTTCTTGAGTTTTTATAAGGCAATTTTTTTGAGGGTGGAAAAAAAATAAAATTAATTCTTTTTTCCCATTAGATTTGTGTGATTCTCAAAGAATTGTAAGCGAGATCATTGATTGGAGAGAAGAAATGAAATAAAATTTTATTCCATGTATAACCTTGTTTCTCATCTGCGTGAGACTTCTGTATTTTGATCATGATACTCCGATGAAAATACGACTTGGATTTGTTATGCTGCGGACATAAAAAAAATTAAGATAAAAATAAGTTTCTTTTAGCAATTGTTTGCACTTACAAGTCGAAGGGTGCGAGAAATTACGCTGAAATAAAATTTTATTTTTATTTCATTTCCGGCTCCTGTTCATTCGGCGGGTTCGCGAAACAAGTGATAATAAAAGTCTGGCCTCACACAAGACAAATTTTTAACTGATATAGCGCTGCAATAGTTTAGTGGTGATTGACAGTAGAGTAGCTTCCTGCCAAATCAGTGAAAAGTTAAATTGAAGTTAATGCACCCAGTTGTTGTACTTGTTGTTTTCGTCTGTGCACACCGTTTACATATGATTTGTTTCACATGCTGAACTACATTCTGTGGTTATGTCGTTTCCATTTTTAGTAAAGTCTCGTAAATATAACTAACTTTATTGTCTTTTTCTTAGAATGCTGTATCCCTTCATGCAAGATAAACTTCACATTTGAGGGTTCCCTCTCATTACCATCTTATCAAGATGGCAGAAATGAACAACGTGAAAGTTGCTATAAGAGTCCGTCCATTCATATCAAGGTGAGTGTTTCTGTTATCACCGATTTATAGTTGAAGATGTTAGCATACATCTTTTAGCTATATATCACCATTTTGAATTTCGCTGGTTTCCGGCGTCCTTTGTAGAATGGCTAATAGGAAGCAGGTAACTGGTAATCGTCATATTGTTCCATTTGGACCGGTTTTCCGGCCGGAAGGAACACGACTGGGTGACGTAATTTGAAAACATTCTAAGTTTCGTAAACGTGTTTGTAATACTACAATAAAGCCATGCTCATACATACTGCCTGGTTAGATTTACACATTTGAGATGTTTCTGACATTCCTTGCTGTTTCTGTGCAAATTTATAACAAAAGGAACAGTTTTTTATTCGCCCAACTTTCGAAAGTAAAAAGAAACTCCTGAACGGCCACGAGCATAAGCGCTGACATCAGGTAACCAAGGGAAATAAAACAAGCAACGAGAAAGTGATGAACCAATCGGAATGCCGGATTCGTGACTAGTTACCGACCTCTTGTGGCTTGGTACGCCATGACACTTGAGGCGGGAACCAGTCAACATTTTGAATATGATAATGACAACAAATCAGGGATCTTGCAAGCCCAATGTGGGTGCCGGCCGGCCGGTCGGTCATGAATATTAATGAGCTCCGTCACAGTGCAAATATTTTTTTTATTGGCATTAAAACATTATGTTTCACAATTTAGAAGAATTTGAATTTAAAAATGAAATGTATTTGAAATGCAAATGTTACAGACTAAAAACAGAAACAAATAAATTATTGTTACAATATTAATGTCTATTGTAAAAGATTAAATGAAATATATTTGAAACGTTTCAGCCAGGCATTTGTTATTCGACCAGGTAATTATTTGGCGTATTGTTGTAATTTATTATTCGTACCATCAACTTCTAAAACGTTTACATTTACAGTAATGAACAAGCAAATACAACTTCCAAACTATCATAGAAGTTAAAACGTGACATAACATACGCGATGTTGTACGTCGGTTATACCAATAATTCCTCTTACTCAATCATGCCATGCAAAAAATGTTACTTAAGTAAAATTTGACTTTATCAGTAGTGATTATTTGTTATCACTTGATAGCTTGGGTAAAAAAAACACAGACCCGCCATGATGTTTGTGAAGCATTAGTTGACCAGCATGTGTCCTTTGACAAGATGGGTCAACAATACCATTAACCAATCAGAATGTCGCATGGTAATGCCGGTAGAACCCGAATGGTAGTGATCATAAAAATTACAAAGTAGAAATAAAGTGATATCGTAG